GAGGAGGAGGAGGGGGAGGAAGATCAGGGTAGGACTCGTTGTCCCTAAGGTACGAGCACAGCACGCTGGTGGAGATGCACCAGACGTTCGGCCTGGAAGCGGGCGCGCTGCTCTCGGCCGAGTTCGGGGAGCACGAGCCGGAGGAAGACGCGCCGGGCACGCAGCGGGTGGTCCTCGAGTACGCAGACGAGGCTTCGGGGCGACGTTCGGGTGGATCTGGTGTTCGGATGCCTTCGTCGGTTCTCGGAGGTTACGTCCTGCGAGGTCCTAGGTGTCCGTCGGCGCTCGGCAGTTTTTCCCCGCCTCGGGGTGCTTTCCAGCGGCTGCGCCGCGCGGAGGGTCGTTCCAGGGTTGCCCGGAGCCCCCGGGCGGCCTCCGAAAACTTGGGCTGCGGCCCGAGGACTGGACGTTGAGGATCATCGGGAGGAGGGAGGAGGGAGGAGGGACGAGGGCGGATTAGGTGCAGAGGGCCTTGGCTTCGAGGATCGAAGGAGTTGCCTTCTCTTCCTCGGCGGAAGGCGGCGGAAGCAAAACGAGGCCGCCTCCGCCGGCGGAAGCCGGCGGAAGGGGCGGCGGAATGCGGCGGAAGTAGAAAATGCGCACCCAAGGTATGAAAACGTTTTTGAGCTCAGGTCTTCCGAAATCGCCCAGATGGGGATGCGTCGACCCCCAATCGCCCACTCATCGGCGAGAAGGGCCCGATAGCCCGCCAGGCCCAGGAGCGTGTGGATTCGCAAAGGGGCACCTGTCGCCGATCTGTTGGCGATGTGCCGCCGATTCTTGTTCGATGTCTCCCCCCAAGAGCCGCCCCCTCCCCGCACACACACGGTCAGAAACTTGTGTTTCGCGTGTCCCTCCGCCTGTTTTGGCCCACCGCGCTTCGGCGCGACACGCTAACCACGTCCCGTTTCCCAAGCGTCATCGCTCCGAGCCTTTCCGAGCCTCCCCTCCCACGGAGCGGAGCGACACGCTATCCGATTGAAGGGCACAGCGCGTCGCCAGGGCCACCGCTGCGACGTGCTAAGCACAAGTTCCTGAGATCCGACGGTGCGAAAAAAGATGCAGCATCGTGAAAAATCATGACCGCAGCCCCAGGCCCCAATCTTTCTGTGGCACTTTTTGAGCCAGATCGATCCGTAAGGGTCCCAGGGTTTGAAACAAGGAACAAGGGAACAGCGCCTGTGTGACAGCATTGTGACGCCCGATTCGGGATCACCGAGACTCGAGCCTCGAAGCTCGACCCTGGGTTATCCGATCCTCGATCTCCTATCTGCTAACATCGGCCCTCGAACCTCAGGCGGAGGAGGAGGAGGAGGAGGAGGAGGAGGAGGAGGAGGAGACGGATACGGAGACGGAGACGGAGACGGAGACGGAGGCGGAAACGGGGGCGGTCGAGGCGGTCGAGGCGGCAAAGGGGCCTGAAACGGGGCAATTCCGTTTCTTGTGGAAGAAGGAACGACGCCAGGATCGCAGTCCCATGATGTCAACGTTCTGTTGCCCTTGAGATTATCAGGGCCTACGGTCATGGTTTTATCCTTAGTAAGTTCTCCGCACTCAGCGTGTATCCTGCGCAGCTGGTACTTAGCGTGTATATCCGAGGGCTGCGTCACCCGCTCCTGCTTATCGTGTGCGCCCCTGCGCTGCTCAGCGTGTCAACGGCTCCGTTTTCGCAGGGCCCGAAATCACATACACGCTAAGGCGCGTGGGCCCTGGAAGTCTCGACCACTTCCCTGGGGCCGGCTTTTCGTCCCGAGCCGTTTTTGGACGGTCCCGAGGCCCGGCGAGGGCCCTTCGGAGGTCGAAGGCTGGCAGAGACCTGCCGGAGCGTCGGATCTCTGGGAGCGTTGCCCCTCGCGAGGCCAGCGCCCAGCTGGCCGCGGGTGGCCTGGACGGGCAGCTCGTGCAGGCGCACGACGGCAGGGTCCAGGCCTTGCGCGCCGAGTTGCGGGACGCGGCGCCGCCGCCGCGGAGCTCTGCGCTGCCGGCCGTGCGCCTCAGCGGCGTGCCGGATTCGTTCACGGAGGAGACTCGAGTGATGGGCCAATTGTCCACCACCATTGCCATAGGTAGGGCGGGGCAGAAGGGGGGCTGGGGATGTTTTCCTCCTCCTCCTCCTCCTCCTCCTCCTCCTCCTCCTCTTCGTCCGTAGCTATTTTGGCTCAAGCCATTTTGGCTCAAGCCGCTTTCTCTGTTTGCCCCATCATTTTGGCTCCATCTCGCTGAGCTCATGGTGGCTTGAGGTCTGTCTCGTCTTTATTGTCTGGCGCCATTTTTTTTCTGCTGGTGGGCTACGTGACTGGCAGTGGCGCTCTCTCTGGTATTCCGACATGCGATCTAAATGCAATTGTTTGGCAGCGAGAGTCCGTCTCTTGGAAAAAGGCACATACGTACACGTGGACCCTACCTTGCAATCGTCCGCGCTTCGACGCCACTCCTACTTGTGCGAAGTGCTTCAACATAACGTTCATCATCCCAGCCAGGCTGCAAGTCTGGCTCGCCCGCTCGTGGGCGACCGCGTCTATCGTCAAAGGCGCAGGTTTTTTCGACATGCTGGAGAGGAGCGACACGTTGTGTACCAGGACCCCGCGCCCGAGGATGTGGAAGTCGCTGGTGCATGCTAATTTCAGGACAAAACGGATACTGCGCACCAAGGATATGATTGCGTTCGGATCGTTGCCCGTCGGTGGAGACGTTCCTCGTCAATACTTGGCCCTGACGCTGCGGAATTCCACCCGTCAGGCTCGTGTGGTTCCAGCTATTTGGTCCTGCCGCCGTATGTCCCAAACGTAGGATGTGGTCAATCCTTGTCCTTCTTGTGTATGGACGATTCAGCTTCTTACTTTTAGTCTCTTGTGCAAGAGCTCTGTGTTATGCTCCATCACCAAGCACAGGCTTTATCTGAACATGGCGCTGTCGCGCAAGAGCTGAATGACAAGACTTCCTCGCACACCCTCTTTATTCAAGCCCTTGAACACAAGAGTGGGAAGTTATTTCGCCATTACTGTAACGTATATGCTATTGTCAATTGTCTGTATATGCAGAAAACTGCGATCGAAGATCGCTTCGAACATCTTGAAGCTACTGCCCGAGAGCACTCCGACACGGGGACCGCGACATTGGTTGAGCATATCGCTGATCGCCTCGCGTGCAGCGAGGGCTCTTTGCTGGCCACTGCGACCCGTCATCGTGAAGAACTGGAGGCTGAGCTGGGCCGCTGCTGCACGGACCTGTTCACAACGAACGATGCGAGGCATTCCGAGGTCTCAGCTCTGGTCTCAGCTCTGGGCGGCCAAGTGGATGTTCTCCGCTCGGAGGTCGCGAGCGAGGTGCCCTCTACAACGCTGGTCAAGGCCAAACTTGAGGCTATGCGAGGCCTGCTTCGCTGGAGTTGCGAGAAGTTGCGGGAACAGCTTGACCAACAGCTCATGCTGGCGAAGGAGCACATCGATGCGGATACTGCCAAGTGCGACGTCTCGGCTTCGGCCTCAGTTACACGTTGGTTGGATCAGCCGCTGTCGAAGTTGTGGGATGACTGTCAAGATCTTGTAAATGTTTCGAGAGATCAGGTTTGCGACGTTATGTCTTCTGTCCGTGCTGGTATCACTGACGAGGTGAATGGTCGATGCGAAGCCTTGACTGAGGAGGTGGAGCCACTTGTTCAGAGGTTCATTGGTGAGCACACTGATCATGCTTCCCCTGGCATGGCGGATCAGGTTGCCACGCACGAAGAGGCTCTTCGACAGATATCTGAGCTGCTCGGCACGCTGGTGGCCCAGACCCCAAATAACATCGCAGATGGTGTGGCCTGCGCCCTCAAGCACGCCTTCGAGTCCGACCTGATTCTTCATTGCGTCCGCTTGGCGTTAGCTGAACTGGGCATGGGCCGCGGTCGCGAGGCCGTGAGGAGCGAGGTTGCTCCCCTTGCTCGTGCTGGTCCTGCTGGCGCCCTTTTCGACAACAGTTCCTTCGGCGATGCTCTCGGCCTCTTCAGCGACGACGAAAACGAGAGCCTCCTAGAGGAAGAGTGGATGGACAGCGACGGCGTCGCCCACACCACGTTCTGGTCGAGGTGATGGGCTTCTGGGTGCTGGTGGTCGCCTTCTTTCGCTCGCCCTCTCCGCGGCCGCCCCAGGTATCCAGCCCTATTCTTAAGGATGCCGCCTCCCGGTGCTTGCGCTGTTTGGGGTGCGGATCTCGTTGTGTCTCTCAGAGGTGGCTTGGAGGTACTCTTTCTCGCACGCTCGTCTCCTCCTCCTCCTCCTCCTCCTCCTTCTCCTCCTCCTCCCCCTCAGGAACCTGCGGGCTCGGCGGCGGCCGCCGCTAGAGCAGCCAGCGGACCTCTGCCAGTGCCGGGCGAGGAGGTTTGGGCGAGCCTCAGACCTTGGAGAGCCCGAGGTCACGTTTGTCTCGAGGCCCCAATCTCGTCTCTCACGGGAGCCCCTCTGGGGACCTTGATTTTTTGCACGATTTGCGGGTCGGTCGGCCGCCCTGGGAGTTCTTGGGGTCGCAGTGCCCTCGCGTCGGATTATCTAGGCAGTCGGTCTACAGGCCGAGAACGGCAATCGGTTTGGATTCTGCGTGGTAAGCACCCTTCCCGTCGAGACGGGCGCGTAGGGTCAGCCAGCGCCCTGTCTGATGCCTCTAGGGACTTCATGGCCTCCAAGCTTGGCCCAGAGGAGGTTCCACATTTGGACCCTGCATCGGGCTCGGTGTCAGGAGTGGACCTTGTCCGTGGGCTCGCGCTGTTTGGATTATCCTCCCGCGCCGCTGCTGAAGAGCTGGGGCGGCGGGTACCTGACAAGAGGAAACGCGTGCCCGATGAATCGGAGGACGAGCTTAAACTTGCTCAGCTTGGCTGGTGCATGCGAATTGGGTGGCTCCCTTTCAGCCGGTGCTGCACTCCTCCTCCTCCTCCTCCTCCTCCTCCTCCTCCTCCTCCTCCTCCTCCTCCTCCTCCTCCTCCTCCTCCTCTCTTTCCCTCTCCTGCAGTGGTGGTGAAAAATGAGATCCGACGCTCCCAAACAATTGGAGCGGCGGGCCTTTGCCAGTCTTCGACCTCCGAAAGGCCCTCGCTGGGCCTCGGGACCGTCTAAAAACGGCTCGGGACGGAAAGCCGGCCCCGAGGAAGCGGTCGAGATCTCCGGGGCCCACGCATCGAAAAAGTTGGAGCGGCGAGATGTCTGGGGAGGAAGAGGTACCGGTGCTGCTGTTTTTGTAAGCTTTTCGCCTTTGGGGGGCCTTCTGGGAGGCTCTCGTCTCCGCGGCCGGACTCGCCTCGAGGTCCTGGTCAGGGCGCGCCCCAGGAGAGGCCTGGGGAGTCGCGGTATCCGTATTCTTTGTCCCCCCAGGGCAGGGCCTATCTCGATTCGAACGGCCCGATCCCGCATGGGCGTTGGCTCGCTCGGTCCGATTCGATTCTGGTCTTCAGGCGGTCCGATGCGGCCCGATGCCTGTGTGGCGCTGTTGTGCATCCTGGCACGGCCGATCCGATTTGACTCGCACTTCATGCCGATGCAGGCCGATCCGAGAAAATGCCAATCCGATCCGATGTCCCGACTCAATGCTGACTGATCTTGCGGAGGAGATGGTCCGGGAGCTCCACGAGGGCACCGGCGTGGCGGACGCCGACGTGGTGCCCAGACTTCCAACGTATTGAACAACATTATTTTGCTTCGAGCGACCCCCACCGAAACCTTAAGCGTTTGTTCCCGACAGCGCGCGGTCGCCTAGTTGGTGGAACGCTGCGCGCGGGGCCCTGTGGTTCCGGCCAGTGCGGCGGTTTGGCCAGGTGGCGAATTCCGTTGTTTGCAAATCCAACAACCCCAGCGCTCCTGACGAAAGAAATTGAAAGAAACCCCGGGGCGGAAAAACAAGCTTCGACAACGTGCAGTGCGAAACGGAGAGAGAGCCACAGCCTGTTGAAAGAGGAAGAGGAAGAGCATCAGCAGGAGGAGGAGGAGGCGGACGACGAAGGAGGAGGAGGAAGAGGAGGGAGGTGAGGCGGACCTCTCCTCCCTACTTTTCCTCTTCCTCCTCCCGCCATTGCACAACTGCCGTTTCTGGATTCAAGAGCGGTTCAACCGTGTTCCATGTAGTCATGTTGTCGTGATATGATATGGTATGGTATGTTCTGTCAAGGTGTAATGTGGTATGTTCGGGTATGTTATGGTATGGCTCGGCCCTGTATTGAATATCAGCATATGTTATGCTAGTACGTGTCGCTATGCTCTGCTGTCGTCTTCTGAACTGTTATGTAATGCTATGTCACGATACGATAAGTGTTGTCAAGGTGTATTGTGGTATGCTCGGCTATGCTACGGTATGTTGTCTTATGTCCTCCTCTGCTCTGTCATGTGTTTCTATTTTATGGTATGTGATGTTCTGTGTTGTTTCAATGTGTCATTACATTGCTAAGTTATGTTCTACCATGTTCTGTCATGTTCGTGCTCTGTTCTGTTGTGTCATGTTGTGTTCGTCGTCGCTATGCTCTGCTGTCGTGGCTTGATATTTTCTGCGATGCTGTGCCATGACGCGATCTGTTCTGCCAATGTGTGTTATAGTATGCTTGGTGATGTCATGTTATGTCGCGTTCTGTCGTCTTCTGTTCTGCCATGTTCTGCTCTGGTACGTGATGTGATGTTCTGTTCGTTGACGGTTCGGCTCTGTATAGTATATTATGACCCGTTCTGCAAGTATGTGTCGTTTTGATCTGCTGTCGCGCTATGAGATGTTATGTGATGTTGTGACATGATGTGGTATGCTATGTCAAGGTGAGTTGTGCTATTATCGCTGATGCTCTGCTATGTCGTGTTATGCCGTCTTATGTTATGTCATGTTCTGCACTTGTAGGTTCTGTGGTATTACGATATGCTATATGTTGTGTTGACACTGCTATGTCATGGTCGCCTTGTTATGTCATGCTCGTGATGTGGTATGCCATGTTATGTTGTGTCATGTTGTATTATGTCGTGTTCGTCGCCGCTATGCTCTGCTGTCGTGTTATGATATGTTCTGTGATGTCGTGTCATGAGATGCGATGTACTGTCAAGGTGTGTTATGGTATGCTCGGTTATGTTGTGTTATGTTGTGCTATGTCGTATTCCGTGTTGTCATGTTCTGATGTGTTATGTTATGTGATGTCTTGTGTTGTTCTAAGTTGTCAAGGCATTGATATGTCATGGTCTGCCATTTTCCGTTCTGTCATGTTCCGTTCTGTCATGTTCTGTTCTGTCATGTTGTGTTCTGTCGTGTGCGTTTAGGGCGCGGGGCGGGACACCCGGACTCTCAGGGATCATCGGAACAGTTTGGGAATCGGCGGCTGCGGTATGCAGGGTGGGGTTGGCCGGGCGCGAGGCGGGACACCTGGGACTCTCGGGGACCATCGGGACAACTTGGGGTCTGGCGACCGCGGTATGCAGGGTGGGGTTGGCCAGGGGGGCTGTTCTTCAGCCCCAACCTGTCGGGTGGGGAACAATGCCAAGGTCTTTCACCGTTTCGGCGTCCCTGGGAGCCTTTGCCCGGCCCCGGGGACCGCCAGAAACTATCTCCGATGGAACGCCAGCCCGGGGGGAAAGGGGGTGAGGACCCCGGACTTGGTGGCCGCCAGCGTGGCGGACCAGGATCTCCGATGATGTGATTGTTAACTGTTGTGCGGTTTTCCACGATTTCGGGGCATCGGGCCCCGCGCGCGACTATCAGAAGCGGATCCCTGGCCTCGGGGAAGGGGGCGGGCCTTCTCGGGTTTGTTCGCCCCTCTGTGCTCTCGTCGTCGTCGTCGTCGCCGTCGTCCTCCTCCGAATTTTGTGGGCCAGCGCGGGGCTATCCTTGAACCGACGCCATTGGACAGGGGTCTATTGTCGACAAGCTACACTGAGCAAGGGTAGCGAGCGACCTGGCGGTGGGCTAAGAGGCTTCGCCCTAGTCACCTTGGGCCGTCTGTGTTTGCGGTGCTCCCAGCAGCACCCGAGCTCGACGACCCTGGCCGTACCTTGAAACAATCAGATCGGCGGATGATTGTTTTGCCGATCGGCGCGGGCCCTCGCACCCCCTCCCCCCACATGGAGTAGATCTTGGCTGTTTTTGTCGCCTGTTTTGAGCAGGTGGAGTCTCCACCATAATGGACGCCCTGTTACAAACAGTCGCATGAAGCAGAGGTCCGGAGCGAGACCCGCCCCCTCCCCCCCCCTTCTGCCCGATGTCGAAACGCCGAATAAGAAAACCTTCACCAGTTTTTCCGATGCGAGGGCCCCAGAGGTCTCGATCACTCCCCCCAGGGCCGGTGTTTCCTCCGGAGTCGTCTCTTGACGGTCCCGAGGCCCGGCGAGGGCCCCCGGAGGTCGAACATTGGCAAAGACCCGCCGCTCCAGTTTTCTTGGAGCGCCGGCTCCCATTTTCCACCACCACTGTCAAAGGTAAGAGGAGGAAAGGGAGGAGGAGGAGGAGGAGGAGGAGGAGGAGGCAGAGGGAGGAGGAGGCAGAGGGAGGAAGAGGAGGAGGAGGAAGAGGAGGAGGAGAAGGAGGAGGAGGAGGGAGGAGGAGGGTGGAGTAGGAGGACCTCCCCGACCTCCCTTTGCCCCGCCCTATCTCTGGGCAGGTGTCCGTCGAGCTGCTCGACGCCTCCGGCGAGACGCGCGCCTGCGTCGTGCGCTACCAGCACGGCGGGGCCGCCGCCAGGGCCGCGCGCGCGTTGGAGGGCAAGCGGGTGCTGACCGCCTCTGGGGCCCAGAGGCGCCTCGTCGCCGGGCGCGAGGAGCCAGAGGGAGGAGTAGGGAGGAGGGGGCAGAGGGAGGCAGACGGAGGAGGAGGAGGAGGAGGAGGAGGAGGAGGGGAGGAGGAAGGAGGAGGAGGAGGAGGAGGAGGAGGAGGAGGAGGAGGAGGAGGAGGAGGAGGAGGGAGGAGGAGGCAGAGGGAGGAAGAGGAGGAGGAGGAGGACGAGGAGGAGGAGGAGGAGACAGGGAGGAGGAGGCAGGGAGGAGGAGAAGACAGAGGAGGCAGGGAGGAGGAGACGACGGAGGAGGAGGAAGAGGAGGAGGAGGAGGAGGAGGAGGAGGAGGAGGGAGACATAGTGACATAATTACCGCTGCGGCTACCGCTACCCTTCTCTCGCCTTCTCCTTGCTGGGCCTCCGGGGAGGCCGTCGTGGCCACCGCAGGGTCCTCCTCGAAGTCCTGGCCAGACTGCACCGCAGGAGACTCGGACCTCCGCGGAGCTGGTGTTTCAGCCCGCTGCCCCAGATGTCCCGACCCCTTCCATGGGGGGCCAGTTTCTCGCCCCAAATCTGTGTCTGATGGTCCCGGGGCCCTCTGAGGAGGAATGCAGCTATCCTTCACCCGTTTTCACCTTTTTGGGTCTCCTGGGAGGCCCCCGTCGCCACCGCTGGATTCGCCTCGAAGTCCTGGTCAGAAGGCGCCGCAGGACAGGTCCGCGGAGTAGCAGTATCGGCACCTTTTGGTTTCCACAGGCCCGATAATCAGGCTCCAGAGGCCGACATCGGGGAGAAGCGCCCGGATGGAAAAACAGCACATCGTCGGAGAGCTGGGGTGGCCCGTAGAGCGCGAGCAGGGGATCGACGACAAAATCGTTTGCCCAAAAATTGACTTTCTCGTCGGATGTACAAACCAAGACCTATGATGTTCGTATGGCTGCGAGCATGATACCCATTCTCCGTATATTCGACGAGCAAATTAAGTTTGGGTAAATTAATTATGTAGTCGATCCCCTACAGTCGGATCTTGGCCAGAAGAGCACCCCTCAAGAGCATGAGACCCTCCGCCGGCCAAAACCCACTATCGTCCAAGGGTACCCCCCCCAGGATGCACACGGGGGCATCTGGCCGACACGAAGAGCCCATGAGGGCATGCCCTCCCCGAGCCGACCCCGATCCCTGCTCACTACCTCGGCCCGACCGCACTCGAAGCGCAGCATACTCGAAGGGCTGACGTGGCCGCGCCTGGCCGCCGCCGCGGAAGCCTGCGGGCCCGTCCCTCGGGAGGCGCGGGCTCGGGCGCACGCGGCCTCCCCCTCGTCGTCCTCCTCCTCCGTAGCCGCTTTGGCTCCGGGCTATGCGCCGCCCCGACGACCGCGAGTCTTTCGGGGCGTCCTCAGAGCGCGAGGGAGGTCTCCGCTTGGAGGCCACGTGCATCCACTCACTGGCGGCCTCTACCGCGGGGCCTGGGCCCCCCCGCCTCCCTTTCCAATCCCTGTCCCTCCCAGACCTCCCTCCCTCCCTCCCTGCCCCTCCCTCCCTCCCTCCCTCCCTCCCTCCCTCCCTCCCTCCCTCCTCCTCCCTCCGCCTCCGAGGGAGGAGGGAGGAGGGAGGAGGGAGGAGGGAGGAGGAGAGGAGGGAGGAGGAGGAGGGAGGAGGGAGGAGGGAGGAGGGAGGAGGGAGGAGGGAGGAGGGAGGAGGGAGGAGGGCTGATGGCGCTGCCGAATGCGAGCTGTCCGTCTCCCAGGCCGAGAGGCTCGAGTCCATGCCGACCTTCCCGCCCCAGGAGAGCAAGGCGGGCAAGGGCAAGGGCTCCGCGCCCCCACGCACCGCCAGCTGCGCTGCCCACAAGCGTCGTGCTCTGCCTCCTCATGGCTCACCTGCTGCCACCATCGTGGACGACGACATGCCGCCGCGCCTCGATGACGACGACGACGCCTCAGAGGACTACATCAAGCAGTGCTGTGCCGACATGCTGGCCAAAATGCGTGAGGAGCTCGCCGTCGACATCAGCAAGTCTCTCACGGACACCATCAAGCAGAACATCGAAGTGCAGAACAAACCAACCATCGACCTGCTGGACCAGCTCCGCGCCCAGCTGGCGCAGCCTCCAGCTGACCTCGACCAGAAGATCCTCTCGATTGTCCGCCCTCAGCTCGACTCCACCGCTCGCCGTCTCCAAGCACAGCTCGACGCCCAGCAGACGCAGATCAACGAGACCGACAACCGCGTGTCCAAGGTTGAGGCCCAGATGCAGGACGTCCTCTCCCAGTTGGAGGTTCTCAGGAAGGAGCTCCTCATCGCCGAGCAGCGCCCCCGCGCCCCGCTCACCCAGCCGAAGGGCTTCGACAGGGAAGTGGATGCTTCGCTGGTTGTGGCCATGGCCCAGCGCCCTACCACGACAGCCTGTGTTGAAGCTGAGCTCCGCCCTTGGATCGCCTCGCTCGGCCTCGCCGACGACCTCTACGACCTTGTTCCCGTCGGCCCTGTGCCGACCAAGAAGTTTCACATCCGCTTCAAGGGCCTCGTCGCCGTCGCCTCCAGGATGGCAGCCAAGGTGCTTGGCTCCCTGCGCGTCGATGGCACCTGGAAGGAGTTCACAGTCGAGGTTCCTGGCAGCCCTCGCTGCCGCATCCACCTGGGCCCCGACAAGTCGCCACGCCAGATTCGCTGCGAGATTCTGCTGCGGAGGGCACGCACTATCATTGCCGAGCGTCACCCGAACCTCCGTCTGTTCACTGACAGAGAGCGTGCCACGCTTTCCGTGGGATGGGATCGTATCATGCGTGCGGAAGCCCATCCTGGCAACAAGCCCGCCGAGTTCTTCTGGGACAACCAGCAGCTCGCCAAGCACGACCTCGTCAAAGCCGAGCTCGTGTCGCTGCTCGCCCCGCTCATCGAACCCGAGGCGGAGCCACAGTGGTGCCTTTGACGTATGGAAATTGTTCGCGTGTACATCGCCCTCTCCTGCCTGACCGGTGGCTCCCATGAGGGTTGTCTCGTGGAATGCGCGGGCCTTGCTCCAGCACGCTGGGAAGAATGGCGCCCGCAAATTCAACTACCTACTTCGCCTGCAACCCGCCCGCTCCATCGTGCGCCTGCAAGAGGTCAGGCAAGATGCTCTTCAACTTCGTGAGTTCCTCGGCCCGTTGGGTGAGTCGCTGACAGTGCACTCGTCGTTCTGTGGTGACCATGGGGCGGACCGTGTCCGCGGGGGTGTGGCCGTTCTTCTTCCCCAGTTTTGTCAGGCAGCTGGAGAACGTGTGCGTAGTCATGCGGTGGCTCTTGTGCCTGGTCGCGTTTTGCGGGTCACCGTCGTGTGTGGTCCGATCTGCATGGAGATCTTCAACATTCACAACCACGACCTGAAGCAGGAGCAAGTCAAGGAGATAGTCGAGATCATCCTCGAGGCTCGTGCTGCTGCGCTCAGGGCGCCTTCCCAGCATCTCGTGCTGGTTGTGGGTGACTTCAACTTTGCCGCCGAGGATGCTGTGGTTCTTCATCTACCACAGGCCGCTGTTCGGCGCGCTGCACGTCAACATCATAGGCAGGCTCGAGTCTGGCGGCGGGCTCTCTCGCAGCTCGTCGAAGTGAAGTGCGATTTGGGGTCGCACTATGAGAAAAAGTCCAACTCTGAGGCCGCTATCGACCGCCTCTTCCTCTCTCTCCCTGGGTGGATGGTCTGTCAGCATCATTTGCAGGCTGCTACTGTGGGGTCTGCAGCTGCTGTCTCTGATGCCATAGTCTCGGATCACGCTGCAGTTGTGGTCACCATCACCCCTCGTGCCGCCCGTCCCCCTGCCGAGCGCCCTCTTGCTAAACATCTCTTCCATGATCAGTGCTACCTGAGCCGCCTCCGCGCTATGGTTGACTGTGCTGATTGGGGCAGTATGTCACCTCCGTATCGGTTGGATCATTTCAAATATCTCATGAAAGAAGCTGCGCGTGAAGCCCGTGATAATGACTTTCGGAGGCGCCCTCATCATCCATCCACCCTGTTACAGCTTGCTCGCTCTATGGCAATAGTTATATGGCGTCAAGATGTGAAGCTTGCTTGGAGACTACTAGAATCCCACCCCATCGCCTCCGACTTCATCCGTGTCCAGGGGCCTGCGGTCGAGTTGTTACATCCTGAATCGTTCCATGCCTGTTCCGACCGTCTCCAGTGGGAAGCAGCCGAATGTGCCCGTGCCGAGTTGCAGAGAAAGAACGACTCCTCTCAAGATATGCGTTCCGCCCGTCTTCAGTTGAAATCCCTTGAGAGACGGTCCCGCCTCTGGTCCTCATTAGATCGACGTGTATGCCTGACGGCAGTTACCGATGATAGTGGGCGTTCCGCATGTGACCCTGCCGAGCGCGTGGGTTTGCTGAAGAGCTACTGGGGCCCCGTCTTCTCCAGGAAGCCCTGGGACCACGACAGAGCCGTCGAGCATGCTGCCAAGTACCTGCCGACTGTTGACGATGTTGTTCTCCCCCCGCCCACGCCACGCCTCCTTCGGGCTGTTCTGGCGCGCGCTGCTGACTCCGCCACTGGCTGTGACGGGCTCTCCTACACGGCGTGGCGCTCCATGCCCTTTGGTGCGACCATCCTCTGGGACTGCCTCGAGTGGGTGATGAGCGGTCAAGCGTTGTTCGACTCTGCAAGCACGACCCTCCAGGTTTTTCTGCCCAAGAACGTGACCGAGGATGAGGCCCAGGTTGGCCAAGTTGCAAGGGGGGCAGACAAAGTGAGAGTGCTCAGTCTCCGCAATTGTGACGTGAAGGTCCTCTCGGCGACCATGAATGCTGCCCTTCGCCCCATCCTTGCGCGCGTCGCCCCGCCCTGTCAGAGAGGCTTCGTTCCTGGGAGGAACTTTGGTCTGAACATCTTGGAACTGGACGCATCGAGTCGTCAGCTCTCGTGCACGCCGCATGGCTCTCGGGACCTGCCCATCCTTTATAGCCTGGACTACGGCCAGGCCTTCCCCTCTCTGAACCAGGAGTTCGTGCTGTTTATTATTGGGGCGCTGCGTCTTCCTGAGGCCATCTTGAAGTTCGCGGGGTTCCTCTATGAGGCCATCGAGGGCGTTGCGGTCTCCATGGGGCTCCGTGTTCACCTGTACTGGGTCCGCAGTGGGATCATCCAGGGGTGTGCCCTCTCTGGCTCTCTTATGCCATTGCATCGTCCACGTTCTTGTACCACCTCGCGCGCGTGATCGAAGAGTCGGGCCGCGGGCTCGTGCGTGCGTGTGCCGACGACATCGGTGGCACGTTGGTGAGCATAGAGGACTTGGCCTGGGTCGCCCTCGTGATGAGGGAGGCGGAGTTGGTCGCGAACCTTGTTCTGAAGATTCAGAAGTGCCATATTGTGCCCCTGTCAGCCTCATTTAGTCCTGCTCTCGCTTCGGAAGCTCTTGGGAGGCTCTCTCGTACGGTGCCCCACTGGTCCGCCATGAAGATCGTTTCGGAGCTACTGTACCTTGGGATATGGTTGGGGCCCTCGGTGGACTCCATGAAGCCCTGGATCGACCCACTTGCAAAGGCGCGGCTGCGGGCTCGAGCAGTCGGACGAGGCGTCACCCCTGCTAGCCTCTCTTCCATCATCTACAATACTCGTATTGTCAGCACACTCTCTTATGTCAGCCAGTTCTTTTGGATGCCACGAGCCGCCCTCGCATGCGAGCTGGGTGTACTTGCACAGGTCTTTCGTGTTGCGTTGGGCACCTTCCCGCTGAGCGCCCGGGTGCAGATGGACCGCTGGCGCGGCCCGCGGGCCTTGAGCTGGGCTCACCTCGACATGGCGCCCCTGCTGCGGGCGGCCGCCCACACCTTTCCCGAGCACCAGAGGCTGCTGGACGACTTGCGGGCCCACGCGTGTGCGCTCGCGGACTCCAGGACGCTTTACATGATCGGCTCTGGTGCCCCATGCCCTGGCTTCTGGCGGAGCCCTGCTATTGTGGAGAACCTCGCTCTGGCCTTGGACGGGCCCGCCCCTGCTGGACCGTGGGCATCGCTTCTCCCACGTGCTCGTGAAGCGCTTGCCAGTGCTACCGAGACCCCTCCTGGTGTCCGCCCCCGTCCCCAGCGAGCTGTCCATCGTGCTCTTCGTGACCTGGCGGCATCTGCCACGCCGCTGCACGTCTTCCTCCGCACGCGGCTGCAGAAGTTCTTCTTTCCACGACACGGTGCTCTCCTCGACCTGATCGACTGGCAGCGAATCTCAGCCACGCTCGATCTGTGCCCCTGTTCGTGGGTGTGGGCAGCGCTGAGGACCTGGTGCGATGGCTGGCTTACCTCATCTCGCATTCCCCACTCCGCTGGCAGGCGCGGCTGCGCCCTTGGGTGTCACAACTGCGCTGACTCGCTTCTTCACTACTCAAGATGCGTGCGGATGCATGCTGCTCTACGTCGCGCCCTCGGACATGGCTTCCCTCTGGAGCTTGCTGAGAGATGGGGCCTCGCAGCGCCCTCGACGGCCGCCTTCGGCTTCATGGCCGCCGCGGTGAGCATGTACAACGCGATCCGTTTGATCCCCGACTGGCCGATCTCAGAGCAGGACGCGCTGAGTGCTGCACTGGCTGGAGTGAGGAGCATGCGGATGGCGACGACTGGTGCCCTGCCTGACGATTCTCCGATGCAATGGAGCGTCCGCTTTATGACGAGACGTGCTCGGCGCCCCTCCTCCTCCTCTTCGTCTTCTTCCTCGTCTTCATCATCGACATCCTGTACCGACGTGACTGACGCAGACACGCCCAGTGGTCCTGGCATGACGCCAGCAGTGATCGACGAGCTGCGGGACTCCGACACGGACGTGGACGATCTGGTGTCACTCGACTTCTCCCCATGTACTCCTCTCCCGACGCCTGGGACTCCATTGCCGACTGTGGCCGCCCCTCAACCCGCTGGCCGCTCGCATGACCTGTACGATTGCGACTGGGAGGGGCCGACTCCCATCGAAGTCAGAACGCAAAGTCCCGTCAGCGGGTGCTCCTCGAACCCAGCTGTCCAGGCTCAGCGAGCATGTTGCGAGGAGGGGTCTCGCCTTTCCGCCGAGCTCAGAACGCAAAGTCCTGACGGCGGGTGCTCCTCGAACCCGCCGCTTCAGGCTCTTAGAGTATGTTGCGAGGGTCTCTCTGCTGGGCGGTGCTCGGTTCCTTCCGCGTGCTCCCCGTCAGCGGATTTGGTCAGAACGCAAAGCTCAGCTCTTGGGTGCTCCTCGAACCCTGAGCCACGAGCTATCACAAATTGTGGGGATGACACTGTGGTGCCTCTTGCTTCGCGAGTTGCCAGATTCTCTCCTCGCGGCTGGATCTGGTCGACGACTCCGTGGGGTACGTCGCCATGCTCTCAGATGCGGGCTCCTCCGACCCTGATGGCTACCCCTTCGGCGCCGACCACCACGGGCACTTCTCGGATGGCGGCTCTCTCGTCTCGGGTTGCCACGAGCCGTGCGTCCTCGGCCACTCCGCGTTCTCAGAGGCTATGGCCTTCCTCTCCACGTCCCGCGTCCTGGCCCCCCTCCCGCCCTGACTCCCCGCCTGGAAAAGTCCAGTCCAGCGTGCCCGCTTCTCCCGTTCTCGATGCCCAGTGCCCCTCTTCCCACGCCGTCATGCCACCCCGCCTCTCTGTTCTGTCCTCTGCTGCTCGCCTCACGTCGCCGCACGGTGCCCTTCGCTCTAATCCTTTAGTCCCCCCTCCTGGTCCTTCGCTCGCGAGATCTGCTGCTGCTGTTGCTTGCCCCCCACCTTCTCACCCTCCTCTCATCGCGACGTTCACCGTCCCTGTCCAGCTGCCTGGTCGCTCGAATTCTGTTCTTTTTCCGTCCACAGCTTCCAGCTCGTCATCTGCCGCTGCACCCAGCCCCCCGTCATATATATAAATACGGCTGCGCTGGGCACCATCTTCAACCTGGCGCTGAGCGCGGAGGACGCACCTGGCGCCCCGCCGCCCGCGCCCCTGCCCCCGCCGCCGTAGGTGGGAGGACGCGCGGCCCCCCCTACGCTCGTCTCCTCGTCGTCCTTCTCGTCGTCCTCCTTCTCCTCCTCTTCCTCTTCCTCCTCTTCCTCGCCCTCCTCGTCCTCCTCCTCGCCCTCCTCGGCCTCCTCCTCCTCGTCCTCCTCCTCGTCCTCGTCCTCGTTCTCTTCGTCGTCCTCCTCGTCCTCCTCCTCCTCCTCCTCCTCCTCCTCGCCCTCCTCCTCCTTCTCCTCGAGGAGGCGCCGGGCGCGCCCTCGGGGCGGGAGCCGCCCCCGCCGCCCCGGGCCCCGGCGCGGGCGCCGCGGAGCCCCCCGCGGGAGGCGCGCCGGCCGCCCGAGGCGCCCGAGAGGGGCGGCGGCGGCGGCGCGAGGAGGAGCGCGTTCGGCTGCGCGCAGGGAGTGGCCTCGCGCCGGAGGGGGGTCCCGATCGAAGCACGGTGGAGGCATGCGTTCAGGAATGTGCCCAGGGGGCTCCAGGCCCTGGGGAGTGGGGGGCTTCCTCCTCTAATCAGGGCGGCGGTGATACGATACCCAGGCCAATCCACGATCGAGGCTCCACTGGCTTCGAGACCCTGGATTCCTTATCCACCGGTTCGTTTTCCAATGCCCTCGCCGTAGGAGATCATATGCAGAATTGATTTACCCCAGAATTGATTGTTTCGTCAATCGCCGAAGGAATACGTAGCAGCCGACGAACGTTTCACTTGTTCTTTTCTAGATGCGACGAAAAGTCGATTTCAGGGTAAATCATTTCTGTAGCTGATCCCCTATTTGAAACACGGACCCAGAAGGTTTAAGTCAGGCGCGCCCCTCTACGGGAGGAATATCCAAACATAGTCAAAACATAGTCTGGGGACCATTTTCCGGCCATTTGTTTGCTATTGTTGAATATGTTTCGGCTTTCCTCCCGAACCCGCCTGTAGGAGGACATGCCCGACGTAACCGAAGGTCCCAAGAAGCCCCCCAAGACGGTCCTTAAGAGGCCCCCGAGGCGGCCCATCAGTTAGCGGCGCTCGCGGTCCCACGACGGCGGCCGAGGAAGGCCTGCAAGATCGCCCCGACGGGGGGGCCCCAAGAGGACCCCCCTCCCCGAGGGTGACCTGTTGGCGCGGGGCTATCGCCGGGGTCCCCGCGGGGGCAACGCCAGGGGGTGGGGATGTGCCCAAGGGGGGGGGTTGCATCGATCCCCAATCGCCAGTGGATCGCCGAGAGCGGCCCGACGGCCCCAGCCTGCACAGGAAGGTGCGGATGCACTATCGGGGCCTATCGCTGATCTATCGGCGATGTATCGCGGATCCCAGGCCAGTGCAGCACCCCCCTGTGCCAGTCCCCCCCTGTCGTTGCCCCTCGTCCCCCCGGCACTGGCCCCCGCCCCCCGCGGCCCCCTGAAGCCGTGCACCAGAGGTCACTCTTGCCCAGGGTCACTCCTTGCGTGTGCAGTCAACCCGCGCAGTAAGGATGGGCAACCTCCCCAAGGTTACCCTTGCATCCTTTCCATCCTTGGCCACTCTCGTTGGCCGCGCCCCGCTCGAAAAGCTTCGATGGGGGCGTCCAAGGCCCTTGAATCCTTATCGCGCATCCTTGTGACACGGGCCGACTGCAGCCGGTGCGAGGGGCTCCTGGCGGGCGGCGCGGGAGGAGCGGGCGGAGCAGGTCGCTGCCCCAGCGGAGCCCTGGTCCAGATCAGCCTCGGACCGATCTCGTCTAGACGTAAGAGTGGCCTTTCGCCGGAGTGGCTTTCCCAGACATGACCGCGTCGTAGAAATACGGGCGGGCGGTTTTTGGCCGCTTTCGGCCTCGGGGGGCCCTCGCAGGGCCCCAGGACCGTCAAACAACTTTTCAGGATGAAAAACCGGCCCGGGGAAGGGAAGGCTTCTTGGGGTCGACGTTTTCAAACAACTCACGACGTCGGGGGTCTGGGAAGAGTGCTTGTTCGTCGGGATGACCTTTGGTGCGGGCCCAAGAGCGTCTTGCGCGCCTGGGTTCAGCCCCCCCCCCCCGCGGCTCCCCAGAGGCCGCGCACCAGAGGTCACTCCCTGCCTAGTGTCACCATTGCGTGTAGCCGACGATCGTGGAGTCAGGAGGTCACCGATCTGTCGATCTGTCGTGGACAGGGTGCCGATGAGCGGAATGGTCCTCCGCGAAGTTTCGTGTGGGCCGCATGGATCAGGATCGCGACCACGCCCTGGGTGAGCCTGGATCGAGTGGGCGCTTCTGAGGAGATCCTGCCGTCCGTGTACATTTCGGACGTGCCCACGGAGCTCTCGGACGATGTGCTGATTGACCTGCACAAGGGCCCAGGCGGCGAAGACGCAGAGATCGTGGCTATCAAGCACCTTCCCGCGAAGGATCCGCTTGGCGAGACGCGGTGCTGCATCGTACGCTATCGGAGCCAAGCGGCTGCTGACAGGGCCATCGAGGCTTTGAGCGGCACCCAAGTGTTGACGACCTCCGGCAGGCCAAAATTCTTGGGCGCACGGCTTGCCAAGCCTGCGCAGTGGATGAGGGAGAAGGATCGGGGAGCAAACATCAATTTGAGCAGCGCAGTTTGACATTATCGCAGACGCCTGCGGCGAATCACAGCCGCCCCTTGCCTCTTGGAAAAGCCCACGCGGCCAAACGTTGAGCCGAAATCTGGCCAAGTGTGTGTTTCCCAGGCCGTTGCGGCAAGGAGGAACATGTGGGGACGGATCAGAAAGGAGGAGAAGGACGAGGATGAGAAGGGAGAACGAGGAGGAGGAAGAGGAGGAGGAGGAAGAAGAAGACTAATGAGGCCCTCTTGGGGCCTTCTGGGGGCTTCCTGGAAGCCTCTTGGGGGCCCCTGAGGGGCCTCCTGACGCCTCCTGGGGGCCTCCTGGGGCCCCTTTTCGGGCCTCTGAGGACCTTTGGAGGCCGTCTTGTGGCCCCCTCTGGGCAGTCGCAGGTGGTTGTTTGGGGGTTCAGGGACGTCTTGGTTGTCTATAGGGCCGTCTTGGCGGCCGCCTGGGCCGTCTTGGGGCCCTCTTGGTCTATATTGTGGGCCTCGTGAGAGCCTCTTGGGCCGTCATGGGGACATCTTGGAGATCTCTTGGGGGCCGTCTTGGAGTGTCGGAAGCCCGAAAAGGTGAGGACGAAATATTTTCTAGGAAGATCGATCATTTCTGCCTGCTGGAGGTCTCTTTGGAGCTCTCTTGGGGCGTCTGAGGGGCCCATTGGGCCGTCTGGGGGCAATATTGGGCTGTCTTCGGGCCATCTTGGCTGTCTTGGAGGCGTCTTGGGACCGTCTTGAAGGCCATATTCTGCAGTCTTGGCCGTCGTGGAGGCCTCTGTGAGGCCATCTTTGGCCGTGTTGGCCGATTCGTGCCCTGTGGGTCCTTCGGGGTGGCCGGCACATTAGACCGGGGCCCCCCGGGGTACATCTTGAAAAACCAGGGCCAGTCAGACAGTCGGCACGCAGCGCACCCTGGTGGCAATCCACAGGGGGCGGCGGATCGAAGGAAGGCGCCGACCGCGAATCAACGCCTCCCCCTGCCGTCTAGGAAGAGTCTATGTGGCCGAACGCTGTGGCCAGGGCTCGGCCGCTCGGCCGTGCTAGCGGAGCGTGTGTCCCCCAAGCCGCTGTAGAAACCCTTCTTGGAACACATGGGGGAGAAAGAAGATGAGGAGGAGAGGGAGGAAAGAGTATGAGGATGACGATGAAGATGATGATGATGATGATGATGATGATGATGATGATGATGATGATGATGATGATGATGATGATGATGGTGATGGTGATGGTGATGGTGATGATGATGAAGATGATGATGATGATGATGATGATGATGATGATGATGATGATGATGATGATGATGATGATGAGAGATGATGATGATGATGATGATGATGATGATGATGATGCTGATGCTGATGCTGATGCTGATGCTGATGATGATGATGGTGATGATTATGATTATGATGCTGATGCTGATGATGGTGATGGTGATGATGATGATGATGATGATGCTGATGCTGATCATGATGATGCTGCTGATGATGGGGATAATGATGATGATAATGATGATGATGCTGCTGATGCTGATGCTGATGCTGACGATGATGATGATGCTGCTTATGACGATGACGATGATGATGATGATGATGATGATGCTGATGCTGATGCTGATGATGATGATGGTGATGATGATGATGATGCTGATGATCATGATGATGATGCTGATGCTGATCATGATGATGCTGCTGCTGATGATGAGGATAATGCTGATACTAATGATGATGATGATGATGATGATGATGATGATGATGATGATGCTGATGCTGATGCTGATGATGACGATGATGATGCTGCTGATGACGATGACGATGATGATGATGATGATGATGATGATGGTGATGATGATGAGGAGGAGGAGAAGGAGGCTGGGGATGAGGAGAGGATGCTGCTGTTGATGATGATGCTGATGACGACGATGATGATGATGACGAAGATGAAGATGAAGATGAAGATGAAGATGAAGATGAATATGCAGATGATGATGATGATGATGATGACGATGATGATGACGATGATGCTGCTGATGATGATGATAATGATGGTGATGATGATGATGCTGATGATGATGCTGATGCTGATGCTGATGCTGATGCTGATGCTGCTGATGATGATGATGCTGATGCTGATGCTGATGATGGTGATGGTGATGATGATGATGATGATGATGATGATGATGATGATGTGATGATGATGATGATGATGATGATGATGATGATGATGATGATGATGATGATGATGATGATGATGATGATGATGATGATGATGATGATGATGATGATGATGATGATGATGATGATGATGATGATGATGATGATGATGATGATGATGATGATGATGACGAGGAGGAGGAGGAGGAGGAGGAGGAGGAGGAGGAGGAGGAGGTCTCGGGGCGGGCCTCTTGGGACACTCCTGGGGCCTCCTGGGAGCTTCCCAGGGGGGGCATCTTGGAGGCCTATCGGGGGCCTCCGTGGGCCTGTTTAGGGGTCCTGCAGGCTTCTCGGAGGCTTTTTCGGCCGTCTTGCGGCGCTCCTGGCCTTTCTGACTCCGTCGGAAACCGTCTTGGAGGCCTCTCTGGGCGACTGGGCGCATTTTTGTGGCACCAGAACAAATTCGCATGTTGGCATGTTGGCATGTTGGCATGTTGTTGTTTTTTGTGGCATGTTGGCGTCTTGATCTTTCTCTCTGCTCACGCACCGTCTGGTGCAAATATTGTTCGTTCGCAGAAGAAAACGACTCCCCAGCGTTGTGGTGTCGGGGAATCGCGAGGTCGGGGAGTCGGGCCCGTCGGGCCCGTCGGGGAGTCGGGGAGTCGGGGAGTGGAGGAGTCGGCCAGTCGGGGAGTCGGGGAGTCGGCCAATCGGGGATTCGGGGAGTCGTCCGCCAATCGGGGAGTCGGAGAGTCGGGAGTCGACGGGTCGGGGAATCGTGGAGTCGGCGAGCTGGCGAGTCGGGGAGTCGATCGGAGAATCAGGGAGTGGGGAAATCCGGGAGTCGAGGAGTCGGCCAGTCGGGGAGTCGGCCAGTCGGCCAGTCGGCCAGTCGGGGAGTCGGAGAGTCGGCCGGTCGGGGAGTCCGTAATCGGGGAGTCGGGGAGTCGCCTTGCGGAGACTCGGGGGAGTCGGGGAGTCGGCCAGCCAGACAGTCGGCCAGTCGGAGAATCGGCCAGTAGGCCAGCCAGCTAGTCGGCCAATCGGCCAGTCGGCCACTCGGTCAGTCGGCCACTCGGGGAGCGGGGGAGTCGGGGAGCTGGGGAGCCGGGGAGACGGCCAGTCTGTGAGTCGTGGAGTCGAAGAGTCGAGTCGGGGAGTCGGGGGATCGGGCAGTCGCCAGTCGGAGACTTGGGGAGTCGGGGAGTTCGGGGAGTTCGCGGAGTCGGGGCGTTCGGGGAGTCGGGGAGTCGGAGAGTCGGGGAGTCCGCCAGTCGAGGAGTCTGGGAGTCGGGTAGCCTGGTCGGTCGAAGAGTCAGGGAGTCGGCCAGTCGGAGAGTCTGGGAGTCGGGGAGCTGAGGAACCGAGGAGCTGGAGAGTCAGCCAGTCGGGTAGCAGGCCAGCCGGGGAGTCGGTCAGTCGGGAGTCGGGGAGTTGGGGGTCAGGTGTCGGGGAGTCGGGGGGTCGGAGAGTCGGGGGGTCGGCCACTCGGGGAGTCGGGGAGTCAGGGAGCCGGGGAGTGGAGGAGACGGCCAGTCGGGGAGTCGGGGGGTCGAGGAGTCAAGGAGTCGGGAGGTTGTGGAGTCGGGGAGTCCGGTGGGCAGGGAGTTGAGGAGTTGGTCAGTTGGGAGCTCGGGGAGTCGGATAGTCGAGGAGTCGGGGAGTCGGAGGGTTGGCGAATCGAGGAGTCGGAGTCGGGCAATCGGGAAGTCGGCCAGTTGGGGAGTCGGGGAGTCGGGGAATCGGGGAGTCGAGGAGTCGGGGAGTCGGACAGTCGGAGAGTCGGGGAGTCTGGGGGCCGGGGAACCTGGGAGTCGGCCAGTCGGGGAATCGCGGAGTCGAGGAGTCGGGGAGTCGGGGAGTCGGCGGCAGGAGGCTGCGGAAAGAGAGGGCCCCCGAGAAGGCCCCGAGAAGACCACTGGAGGTCCCGACAGACAGTCTCGGGGGGGCCCTGATCCGCTACGGTGGGGGCGTTGGTTAAGGACTCCGCCCAGGAGGCTGCAGATCCTGGAGGATTCCTTAACTGATTACAGTCGGGGCGTTGACCTAAGGAACCCTGAATCAGGAACGAGGCCCCCTTTTTTCCATATGTTAAACTTGATTTCCGATCGAAAACATAAGGACTACCTGAGGCAAGCTGTGAAACACTTAAGGAACGCGGAGCCTCTCCCCAACGAAAAGGGTTCCTTCTTCAGGGCCCCGACTGTACGGCGTCGGCGATATCCATGGCCGATCCGCGATTGGAATCCCACTAGCCTCCAGACCCTGGGTTCCTTATCGAAGGTATCCTTGTCTAAAACCTCCACCGTAAGGCCTCCAGCTTCGGTTGGGGGAGACCGTGTCTCCTGGGAGCTCTCCTGCCCTACAGCCCCTGGGGGCTGGCTGATGGGCGGGAGCACGACAGCTTTTCGGGTTTCTGCGGAGGCTCCGAGGGAGAGCGAGAGAGAGCGAGAGGGGGAGAGCGAGAGAGATGGTGCCCGAGAAAGCCCCAAGGACGCCGCAAGGCCCCGACGGGACCTCTCAGGGGGCCTTGGACCTCTCAGGAGCCCTGGTCCGCCACGATCTTCGACCTCAGTTGGGAGATCGTGGTTTCGAGAGGCTCTCCTGGAGCCCCTGAGGGCTCCTGGGCGGAATTCGAACACCGTTTCGGGCCTCCCTTGATGCTCCGAGAGAGAGAGAGAGAGAGAGAGAGAGAGAGAGAGAGAGAGAACGAGAGAGAGAGAGAGGGAGAGAGAGAACAAACAGAGAGAGAGAGAGAGCTCCCGAGAAAGCCCCAAAGAAGGCCACAGGAGGCCCTGGCTTGACCTCTCAGTGACTTCCTATCCGCCACGATCTCAGCCTT